CAGGAAAACCCAGGAGGATGGTGATAAATTTTCAACCCTAAACCCTAAACCCCAAACTCCAAGGAAAATAAAAGCCCTCGCTCACACATATGCATACATAGAGTTTTGACTGAGGGATTTCTTGAAGGGTCTCCAAGAATAGGCCCAGCCCATTCCTCGAGAAGATGCACAAAAGCCTGCACTGTCCACTCAGTATGATAGCCTAATTCCTATAGTAACCCTAAACCCTAAACCCTAAACCCTAAACCCTAAACCCTAAGCCCTAAGCCCTAAACCCTAAACCCTAAACCCTAAGTAGTTAGGTCCTGTAGTCAAGGGGATTTCGAGGCTTTCTTGGTTCGAGGGCTTTCGGGTGCAGGGAGTTGAGGAAGTCGTTTCGCGTTGAAAGTTTAGGGTTTGGGGTTTAGGGTTTAGGGTTTAGGGTGTTTTTTTCATACGTGCATCCCAGAATTCTGAAATCCCCCAGCTATATAAGGCAAGATTCTAAACTCTGAATCCCAGGGTCCTTGCCTCTAGAGAGGAGGAAATCTTAAACCCTCAGACTCATATCAATTAGTCCCGCGACCCTCCAAGAAGGGCTATATACCTAAACCCTAAACCCCAAGGGCTTTGACTCAAGAGGAGATAACCCTAAACCCTAAACCCTGTTTCAAAAGCTGAGGTTTTCGATTTTTACCATCGGAGCCTTGGGCAGGGAACAGCATCACTCGCGTGCGGACTCTGTAATTTTAGGTTCTTGGGCTTTGGGTTTAGGAAGTGGGATTTAGGGTTTAGGGTTCTTGTGAGCAGTCAGGATTAGCTGTGAGGGCTCAGGGTATCAGGATGATGGAGTTCTTCATCTTAATTAAATTGAGAGTCTTGGGACTTCAGGGTTTCAGGGTTTAAGGTTGAGGGTTTCATGACTTTGAGTTTAAAGGTTTGTCCTGAGCCTTGCCATGCACAACCGTGTCGGGATACTGTGGAAGTTGTAATGTAGCTAGGAAGTATAGAGCAGAGTAGCAAAAGCTGCAGCGCGACACAATCATCACGAGCCGCAACAAGGTGCATAATCATAGGCGTGGTACTTGTAGAGCTTAGGGTAGCAATGAGAATGTTGTAGCAGTACCCGTAACTTAAATTGATAACAGCCTCTTCGAAACGATCACTATCGATATCAACAGTAAGTCTAATGACGCTGTACCAACTGCCACAGTGACTATACCACCTGTATTGCTAGCATGCTTATGTCGGACGACGACGACGACGACGAGGACGGTGACTGTTATCACCAGACACTACTGCCGGTGCTGCAACTGTTCGTGCCACGGCTGCGACGATGCCAATTCCTGTTGATTTTGCTACTGTAACTCTGCAACTGCTACTATGCCAGCTACGAAGGCTGCTACTTGCGATTGCAGCGATGACGACGGCTGCGCTGCTGACACTAATTGAAACGAAAAATACTGGCAATGACAAACAGTTTAGCGATCCATTAGATGACAGTAATGACAACAGGTTGACTCCATCCAAAACGCAAACTCTCCCTCTGCAGGAAGGGATTCTTTCAATGGGTGGCCAAGTCCAATGCTTTCGAGACGGTGACATTGGTCGTCATAGGCCATCTCTCTTCAACTTTCCGCAAGCTAAGGTGCTCTGTGCTAGCACAAATCCACGGACCTTTGGCCGAAACCCTAAGCACCCTAAACCCAAGGTCTCAACCATAAGTAAGCCCTAAACCCGAAGCCCTGAAACCCTACACCCTACGCTTCAGTCGACACAGGGTGAACTTGAACCCTGAGCCGGAAACCCTACGTAAGCCATGCCCCATGAGCTGGCCTTGCCGGGATTTCGATGTACAGACTCTTGCTTTATCAGGCGATTTTGGAGTATCTGTGTTACCATATTGATTGTTTTGGCATGGATTCGAAATGTCAGTCGCAGATCTATATGTCCCAGACGCCAAGCGCTAGGGGTAAATGCGGGATGCCTACTAGAGGAGGCTGTAAGGGGGTATCTAACCTAGTAGTCCTTAATGCTCCCTGTACTCTTGAAGGTTCTCTGCAGATTATATACTGATCCCCCCCAAACCCTAAACCCTAAACCCTGATCCTGTAAAGCTAAGGGTTCGGGCATGTGTCCAAGAGGGTTTAGGGTTTAGGGCGATCCATAAGGAATTCCATATTACGACTTTTATACCCAAATAGCCCCCCTAGTTGATGCTGACGAATATTGCGAGTGTACTCTAGGAGCCTTAAAATTTACCAGTAGAACAGGGCTTGGGTCATATTTATATTGCAAGTACAAGTATAAGCAAAAGGACCACTGATGGGGTGCCATTACAAATATTTCCGAAACCCGGGGTGGACCACCAGAGCCTGAACTTGGATGCAGGCCCTAAACCCTAAACCCTAAACCCTAAGCCCTAAACCCTAAACCCTAAACCCTAAACCCTAAACCCTAAACCGCAGGTATCAATGCGCTCTGGCTCGCCCACGACACAAACAGCAACCAAAGCGAATCATTGCTCTCTGCGCGGATCGACTTCCAAGTCGCAGAGATTGCCGCTGGTCTACACTGTTTAGGGTTTAGGGTTTA